CTCAGTTCTCCAGGACACTGGGGTGCAGGTGATGGGAGCCGTGGCCAACTCACCCAATTCTATTATGGGCAGAATCTGTGGGAACACAAGAGGGTAAGTGACTGAGTTGTCTCCTTTGGGAGTTTACAATGGAAACTGAGGCATACAGATACTACAAGGGCCACAGGGTTCTGGGTGACTTGAGTGGACAGAGAGTCCTAAACTCCCAGGGCTGCCTTATAGGATATGAAGTAAGACACCAGCTAAAACAGGGTTTTTTGGTGACCCTCACATTCAGTGGCATTTCATTGAGTCTTTTAACCATCTGAAAGTGGGTGAGATTCTTAACGTTGTGGAAGACTCACAGGAATTAAGATTCAGAGGGAGCAGACCCCTCCCATCTCACCCCTTGGCGGGTGCTCGCTGAGTGGAATTGTGTCAGGTATACAGGTGTCTGAGGGTCTCCCCCTATATGCCTGCCCCTAAGAGCTCAAAACAGAATGTGTGGGTCTGAGACACACATCATGCTCATTCCCCTGAATCCCTGTGACCCTTCTTGAAGGGTCTGTGGATTGTGAAGAGATTATCCATTTAGGGAATGTGGCTGGTGGGGCAGTTAGATTCACTCGGATCACTGGGAACAGCTGTTTTTGGAGTTTATTAGAGCGTGGCTGGGAAGAGTTTCAGGAAACAAGGAGCTTTCAGAAAAGTGTTTGAGGGAAGCTGAGTTTCACTGGGTTACGTAATATTCTTTTTTTGGGTGGAGGGGGTCTATTTTCAACAAAAACTTACCACCTCCTTTCTTTTCCTTGGAGGTATGCTATGGAAAGGGTTGTTTCATTGAACCAACCCCTGTTCAGAAGAAGAGGGAAACTATTGAACCTATTAAAAAAAAAAAAAAAGTTTGGATTTAGGTGAATCTTAGAAATTTTTCATCAATTAAAAAAATTTGATTTTTAATTTTACTTTTATGGGTGCATTATGATTATACCTAATAGTGGCATCCATTGTGCCATATTTATACATGCACATAACATAACTTATCAGTCTCCTTCCCCAGTTTGTCACCAATTTAACTTTTCCATTTAGTCATCTGAAGACCTCAAGAAGATCCTTTGTAAGTCTACTTCCCAAAGTGAACCATGAGGAAGGGACATTCCTTTGCTTCTGCACCATCCCATTTTGAGTAGCTATTTTGGGATCATAAAGTGCACCATTGTCTAAGAGAGGATGGACTTGAAAATAAGTGAGCGACCGCCTGGTTTCACAGATGACAGAGTATCTTCACTCTTCTCACTCTTTATGAGTTTAGTGAATTTTCTGTAGGAGGATTGAATTTAACTTCTAATCTCCTTCATTTTACAAGCGAGAACTTGAGCTTCTGAGAGGTGAGTTTAGTTGGGCTATGTGGCTCATGGGTGAGTCACGTTTGGAAGCCAGATTGGTTTGAATCTTAATACCACGTCACCCCCTGCCCTTGTACCATGTTCTTTTTTGTTGACTGGATTGAGGGAAGGTGGATTCCCTTGCTCAAAGGATGTGTAAGGGAGGTGAAGACATCACTTCTGCAGATGCAGATATTCTGCACATAATTTACTTAATTAGATCTTAAGTGGGAATTTATCCTATACATTAAATTCTGAGGCAGACTGGGTGGTGGTTAACCAGGTCTGTGTATTTTTAGGATACTCTGAAAGTGTGGCTAATACTCAGAGCCAGTGGATACAAGGACAGTTTCCAGGATGAGGTGGATTTTGAGCTGAGGGATGGAATGCCAGAATGGTTATTTCGGTATCCAGCCTGGGGAGTGTTTTCTCAGCCATTTCCAGTCTTGTGATCGGAAACTCTCTGCCCATACAGGGCCTCATCTTACAATTGGGTTGTAAAACCAAGGGCCTGAGTAACTTTGTGGATTATATATCAGGTGGTGTCTGAGGCTGTGTGCTGGCCCAAGTCCAGAGTAGGTTATTCCATCCTGCGGAACTCTAGTTGACCAAATTACAAGCGCCTGGATGCAGAATTCTTCCCTTTGCAATAAATGCATGAAAACATGGGAATGTTTAGAATGGAGTCTGGACTTCCTGCACAGGTGGAATAATTAATGCTTTTTGGTGTAGTGTTCCCCAACCAACCAAGGACTTCGGACTGAGCCTTTGCAGGAACTTGGAGGGACTGTTTGCAGCACCCTGCTGCCTGCCTTCTGTGATAGTTCACCTCTGTATAGTTCAGCTGGCAGAAAGTCTTTCCTTTTCTTGGGAACATCCATAGAATGGGTCTTCTCCCTCTACTGGGACAGACAGTTCTCCAGAGGTGTTTCAGTGTCTGAGGACTCTAGGCTTAGCTGTGAGGGTTCAGAAGGATCTTACCACCTTTGGGCCATGGGCTGAGGTGAAAAATAAAGAAATTTAATAAGCTCCGAAACCAATTGCACAAGACACAGTACTAAGGAAACTGCCCCTGAGGTGGGAGCTTGGAGGTTTTAGGGATCAGAAGTTCACCTCTGGGTGCCATTTATTGAGAATCATGGACAAATTGGAATGTGCTCCTGAGGGGTGGGCAGAGGATGATGGTGTCTGGTCTAAAAGACAGGTACATAATAAATAAGTGTTCTGGGAGAGATCTGCTCCCCTAAGGGATGGATGGATGTTCAAGGGTAGATTGGTAGAAGTTAGTTAATTAGGAAATGGTTTTTAGTCTAATAAGTGGAAGAATTTTGGTGTGCAGGCATGATGGAGGCTGTCAGTACTGAGGCCTTAGTGCACCCCATCATTGGTGGTGTTCAAGCGTAGACTGTGATCAGCGGATGAGATGTTTTAGAGCATTGCACGGGTTGTTGGTATATTTTGGTCTAGAGCTTGGCTTTCGGTTGTAGTCAAAATGTTCTTTCTAGGCAAAGGTCCTGAGCCCCTTCTGTTAGCTCTCACTGTCCTGGATTCAATCCCATTACTAGACTGGTGGAGCACAGGACACCCCTACCATTTATTTTAATATGTGGCTCTCTGGAGTGGATTCATCGCTGTGAGCTGTCTAGAGCTCAAGGCCTGGCCCGTGGTTCTGTAAGTTTTTTTTTTTTTTTAAGTTGTAGATGGACATAATATCTTTTATTTATTTATTTTTAGTTTTTTTTATGTGGTGCTAAGGATCAAACCCAGTGCCTCAAGCATTCGAGGCAAGTGCTCAGCCACCAAGCTACACCTCTAGCCCTAGTTCTGTATATTTTGTTGTTCTGGTTTTTTGTTTTGTTCAGGGAGAGGTGAGGAGGGAGAAGATGGCTAGCCACTGCCAAAGAGTTCCCTCTAACTCTCCCTGTCTCCAGTAGGCCGCCCTGGTGCGGGAAAGACTCTAGGACAGTGTACAGTTCTATTCTTGTTTTATAAGACGCTTAGGTCCCAACACAAAATGTAATAGCTTGAGAATTCAAAAGGCCCACGCCGTAGGCATCATAGAGTTCACCTGGGGGTCAATTGAAAACCCTTACTTATAGCATAATTTATACCTTAAGGTCTGCTCGTTTTTGAAGTCCTGTGTAAATGTACGCCGTGTGTTGGTAAGGGGTAGGAAATACTTTGCTGACATGTTCTTTGAATGATGGCTCAGTGGCAACATTTAAAGGCCGACAACCCGAGAGTGGTTCTCCCCCACCCTCCCTCTTTCTTTTTAATCCAGGTGTTGCCAAATCTAGAAAGCTGTCAGGGTGAGAAGCCAAAAGCACCCATTAGTGAAACTATTGATTGTGTGATATTCATGTGCCTCAGGGTTTCTGTACCAGGGATCTGTTGAGATTTACTGGTGGCAAAGGACCGGGGCACTGGATGCAGTTTGACAAGCCACTTGCTCTCAGGTGATGGTCCTGGTGATGACCTTGGGATGTGGATTGATTGACCAGTGCTGCTTTCCTCCTGAGCGCTTCTTTTGAAATATTGCACATATTTGAGAGGGTGGGCGGGCGGGCATAAGCAGTGGTCACAGAAGCCCTCCCTATTCAGGCCCTGTGCCTCCCCCTTTACATTAATCCCCAGGAGCAGTTATTCTCCCCCTTTTAGGAAGGACTTTGAATTAATGATCTGATGTCTTTTCAACAAAGGAATATTGATATGTTAGTGTGTAGGACAGCAGGGAGTACTGGATTAGATCCTTTTCACATTGGTGTTAAGCCAGTGTGACATTTGTTTAGAAAGCTTATCCTTTTATGACCATAAGTTTCATGCATAATTCAAGGAGAATTAATTTTTGCAAAGATTTCTTTTAGTTCTCTAATCTTCAGTACTATAGAAAAATAAATGAAAGGGCCCCCCATGTGATCAGGAATCAAGAGACCAAGTGCCCCATGTAGGTGTGGAACACTTCCTCAAGTGTGCCAGGCACTTTTGGTGGGTGTTGTAGAAAGACAGGTGGGGATGATATGGTCCCTGCCATGAGGTTATCGTTTCGGAGCTGAGTGTTAAAGTGACCTGACTGTACAGACTAAGAGCCCTGAAGATCAATGCCATAGGTCCAGGTCAGCTGGCACAGCTGACTTGGTAGGATGAATAATAGGATAATAAAATCATCTTCCTCCTGCCTTCCTCGTTCCTGCCACCATCTTTCATGTGATGATCTCATGTTGGGATGCTGTACCATTTCAGTTATGATGCCAATTGCTACACTGGAGCTTTTATTTTGCTTTATTTTCTTATAAACAACTTCTTGTGCTATGGAGATTTGATTATCATTGAGCAAAGCATCTGTAGTAGACAGTGGCACTTAGTAAATGGTTTTCATACGAGTCCCTACAAAACTTGCAGTTCTGAATGAGTCCTATTTCGGGGAGAAAATTTCCTCTCATCTCTGAAGCCATCCAGCTCTTCTGCCTGGCGTTGCCCTTCTGTGTAGCGGAAGCCACTTGCGCCTCAAAATTCCATATTCTGTCCTAGGAGTTATTTTCCAAGCAAAGCTGGAGCCTGAAGAACTTGCAGTAGAACTAGCAATGTTTGTGGATACTGCGTTCTTATACTATTTTGTGATTTCTCTTTTAGGTTTATTTTCTTGAAAAGGCTCCAGGCTTCGGCTTGGAAAATCCAACCGCCAAAATTGAGCCCAGTAGCTGGAGCGGCAGCGAGAGCCCTGCCGAAAACATGGAAAGGATGAGTGACTCTGCAGATAAGCCGATAGACAACGATGCCGAAGGAGTCTGGAGCCCCGACATTGAGCAGAGCTTTCAGGAGGCCCTGGCTATCTATCCACCGTGTGGGAGGAGGAAAATCATCTTATCAGACGAAGGCAAAATGTATGGTAAGTGGCCTGGAACGTTCCTCCGAATTACTACCTGCTATTGTGGTCGAGGAGAGATTTAATTGGCCTTTGAGTGTGATCATCCATTGTACTGGGCTGAATGATCTTTGTAGAATTACAGTTTGTTATCCAGGTAACTCTCACCTGAAGAGGAGTGTCAGTAGCGGACCGCAGGGGAAGCAATCCCTGGGCTTTATCTTTCTGCATGCTCAGTGGTGTTACAGTGGAAGCTCCTGAGGTCTGGGTGGGGACATAGGTAGTTGCAGTGGTCTACGCAGTCCTCTTCAGCTCACTGGCTCAATGTAATCATAGCACTGGCACTTATCTCCTGGAAACTGGTGCCACAGAGGCATGGGGGCCTGCTGCCACCAAATCTCTTGAAACCTGCACCCGTTTCCCACAGGAAGAGCCCAATATTCAAGATGTTTATGTGAAATCTCTTCTTACAAAAGCCAACAGGTTTTTAAAAAAAAATTTTTTTTTTTTAAACAATGCTGTACAGGCCAGATACAAACACATGCATGGGCCTGATCAGATCCTTGAACCACTTGTTTGCATCTCTGCTGCCAGTTTGCAGTTGAATGCCAGATGAGGCATTAACCCCCAGACCATTCTCGCCAGCCTTCCCTTCTCCAGGGGGATGCCTTGCAGTGTGTTCTGAAGGAAACTCTAGGAGTGTGAGGAAGGTGAGACTCTGTTAACCAGTTAGCTTAGGATGCCAAGACAGCAGCAAGTACCCATCTATGAGGGTTGCTAGGTTGGGTTCGGGCACCGCCCCTCCTTCTATCAATGCTTCCAGCTGCAGATCAGTACTTTTTGGCTGCTTACCTTTGGAAAGCAGATGGAAGGTAGTTGCTTATACATTCTGCTTGTCTAATTGGGCACAGAGTTGACAGAGTTTGCACTGTAGCCGAGTCTAAAGAGATGCAAACAAATAACCTAAAACTCACAGAGAACAAGCTCAGCAACCTATCAGAGGTTGTTAACTTATCATAGGAGTGATTTATTTCTAAATAATTTGAACTCTTTTCCGGGACAGGGTGTTGTACCTTTACTCCTCTGTCAGGAGCTGTAGGAGGTTGCTGCTCTAGCCAGCACACACTGCTGAGGAGAAGGCAGATGGTGGTACAGCTGCCACCAGCTGTGCTCCCACCCCACTCTCCCCTCCAACTTGGATGATGTAATGGAAACAAGGACAGTTTTGCTTTCTGCAGTATTGGAGCCCCTTAGCCTGCCATGTACTGGGAGAGGGCGAGTCCAAACCTTCGGCGTTTGTTTTAAAGGCTCTCCTGATATCTTTCTTAGAGCAGCTCCTTCATGTCTAGTGACACGGAGTCGGGAAGGAACAGCTAACTCAGTTGCCGTGGGCAGAAGGTCAGGGCCTAGATGCTCTGTGGTATTTCTCTTCTGCTTTGCTTCTGCAGCCTGTTTGCTCCTGAGGGCTTGTCCTCATACCTGAAGATGTCTCCCCCAGGCCTCTTAGGCAGAAAAAAAATACTTTAATCTTCTAGCCTTCTTTGAAGATGGCTTTATTATATACAGGGTGGCTTTGGGAGCTAGCTGTATAGTTTGTTTCCCCAGAAATTGTTTTAATCTAAAATAATGGCATAAGATTGGAAGTCCTTGTTGGAATAACTACTTCACTTAATTTCTCACTAGGAATACCAAGAGAGCCCTGCCCCATCTAGAAGGGGCTTCAGGGCCAAGGACACAATTCAAAGCCAAAGTTAATTTTTGTCAACTCCAGTTTTGTTTCGTTCTCTGTTGAGATTTTACTTTTTAGATAGCAGCTCTGATATTCAACCACTTGGCTGATAACTTAATCATAAAAATATTTTCATGTGAAAATAATTGTGTAAGGGCTCTTGTTAGTAATTTGGTCTCACAGATAGTAAGCTAGGAAAACAATGAGAAACTTTGGACTTGTGTTGTATCAGCAATGAATTTGAACAGATTAACCTTTGGTCTTAATCTCATCCCCCCCACCCACCTGCAAAAAAACGGTAGAGTAGATGATATCCATGGAGTCTTTGATGGACTTTTCCATTTGGGAATGCTGGGATTTCAGGACGTGTAAGTCAGCAAGATGATCAGTTATTGCAAATGTACTGCTGCTTGTAGGAATGTGTCTTTAGCAACCAGGGGACTCGGACTCAGTGCTTCCTTGGTGCACATATTCTTGACCTGTGGATTCTTTTTCCTTAAGCCAATGATGCATTTACGGACCGTGGCCAGTCCATGAATTACGTGGCCGTAATTGGTGGCCAGCGTGATTTAAAATGAAGCAGTCCTTTTGAGGGAGCTGCATTGGGAATATAGCTCATTTGGTCGTGGGTTTTTCATCAGGCAGAGTATGCAGCCCATGGCGTTTTGTTTCTGGATCGGGGTACAAGAGATGGATTTGTTGCACTGCCCCTGTAGCCACCCCCACCTCCCTGGGGAGAAAATACCTCCACTCAACTCCCTTTCTTTGGTCCACCTGGAAGAACTGGAAAGGGAAACATTGGAAGCTGGGCTATGGCAGATGGAGATGGGGCACCTTCAGAGGAGCCCTGCCTGGGACTCTGAGAATGGGACAGAGTTGATTCTTCACAGCGAGCAAGGCCTGGCCACCTGGCGATGGAGTCATGCAGGGTCAGAAGCGCCGTTCTTCGGCTTCTGTCCTGTTCCCCATTGTACATACATGAATCAGGACACAAACCAGATCAGGAAGCAGCAGTTCTTAAGGCCATACTCTTTATGACCTTACTCTTAAGAGCATACTTTTTCTCTAAGGGTTTTAAAAATGAAAACATTGAAAGTATTTGGGATTCCGTGCAGTGAAATCAAAATAATTTAATGTCCTTTAGTGATGAAATACCGAGTGTTTTTTCTTGAGGGGGTTGGTTGTTCCGATATTTCTGAGCCTTTGTAGAGTGCTCTGTGATGTCACTAATCCTGAACCATTGGAGAAGCAAGGTCAAGTGATTTATTTTGGTAATGAAATTTCCTTCATGGTTGGCAGTAGAGCAAATGCAATCTCGGAGAGAAAGAATGGAAAGTGCTGTTTATGATGAGGTTTCATCCATTGGAGGGGATGGCTTGATTCTCTCTTGTTTCCTTGGTCTGCAGGGGAGCTGGGACTTTTGTCATTGGTCTCTATGTGGATAGATTGCTTCTGCCTTGGGCTCCCCAGTGTGTAGGCAGTTATTCTTAGATGATTAGAAGGGGGTGCGACCTTCTTTGACTTTGTTCCTAAGGGCATGCACACTCGTTCCTGTGGGCTTGCTCTCTTTCTCTGCATCTGTTTTCCTTTGGCATTTCTTATTTTTACATACTTGTGTTTTTTCCCCCTCCCCTGGTAGAGAGTGGGGGAGGAGATAGCAGGAGGACAAGATGGGAGGGAAGTCAACAGACTTCTGTGAAATTGGATTTTGGGGGAGTAGACCATAGTTTAAAACAAGACAAAACAAAGCAGTGAACCATGGGAATACCTAGACCTATTTCTTTTGTAATTGAATATACCAGTCTTGTAACGTGGTCAGATAGTCCCCAGAATCAAGCAAGGGGAAAGACAGAAACCAGCTTTTACTGATGGCCGTAGAGGCTGGCACATGCAGTGCTTGACAGTTTGGACTTTGTAATTTCTGTGTATCTTGGCCCTGCACGTCTAGGTATTAGGCTTTGTGCAAGTTGCCTTACCTCTCACTGTCCCAATTTCCTCAGCTCCAAAGGAGGGTTAACTAGATCCTACTTCACCGGGATTGTCGCAAGAACTAAATGAACTAATTGTGATCTGGAATCTCCCTATGATGTTTAAACAGCATCTGGCATACAGTGAAAGCTTAAGTGTTTACAAACTGAAAACAAAGAAGTGCTCTCTGCCTCTCTGTGTGCTAAGTCCTTTACATGTAATTTCCAACTGATGCTCATAACCATGCCCTGAGGTGGATATTTTGGTCCCTACTTACTGATGAGGCAGACGGGGGTAACTGCCTTGCAGTTGGCTAGTATGGATGGTATAGCTAGAAGGTTTCAACTCTGGGTCCATTAATTCAACAAGTCAGTATTGAATACCAGCTGTACTTCAGCCCTGTGCTCTTAGTTGTCAGACACCAGTGAACCAGACAAACACAGACCCTGCCCTCATGGAGCTCTCACAAGTTCATTTGCAGTAAACTGACCTGAGGTCAGGGCTGTGTGCCAAAGATTTCTGGGAAGTCTGAAGGCTCTTTGAAGATGGTCACCTTCCACTTAGCCTTTTGAAGCCTGTTCTTGGCTACCAAAGTCCAGGACACCTGGCTCGATGCTGGCAGAAGAAAAGCATCTCAAATAACATGGCAGAGAGGGTTGCAGATCACAAGGCTGGCCCTGATGGTGTCCAGAAAGACATCTGGAAGGTTCTAGTGCCCTAGGATTGTACAAGGAGTCCCGGTGGGTCAATTGCTTGTCTGTATCTTTCTCCTTTTGTGAGCAAGTCCTTTTAGGGACCTTGCTCAGTACAGATCCAGAGAGGAACCCTTTCTTCCTGGGACATTAGGCCTTCTGGTCAGTCCTAGAGAGCTGGGGTAGAACTGACCAGGGGTATTAATGAGAGCACTCACTAGCAAACATGAGTGTATGCTGGCTGATCATCATGGCCAAGGAAGCTGCAGTTGTGGTCCCCAAGCTCCACCTGATCCAGGCAACACAGGACTGTCCTTTTGCAAGAGTGTACTCTCACGGTCTGTCTCTGTGGGTCAGTATGCCGGCTGTGTCTGTGGAGCCCCGAAGGCCCTGATGTGGAAGTGGGCATCAAACCCAACCGAGCCTATAGGGTCTCCAGGCCTTGGGAAATGCCCCTAGGGGCCTGAACTGTTATTCCTAGATCTCCATCTGACTTAGTGTGCCATCTTTGCTTTGGTTACCTCTCTTCTTTCTGACCTGTTGTTTCAAGTGGATTGGTTAGAAATGTGAAGCACCAAGGGCTGTGCCCCTCAAACAGGCTGGAAAGCTCTCTGAAGCAGGGCCCTGTCTATCCC